AAAAATATTAGATAAAGAAATCAAACTGAAAACACAAAGAGATTGGAGAAGGGTATGTTAGAGCACATCCTTGGGAAGGACAGTGTTTTTGTTTTGAGGTTTGTTTGAAACAGCAATAAAGAATAGATGAATTTAATCTTCATCCCTCCATCTGTATTACACTGCCACATCGGATCTGGCAGGCACATCTGAAAGCATTTATTTGGAGGATTGACCTGCACCCTTGCTGTTACCAAAGCATAAGGAGGTCTTTAATCTGTGCACAGTGCTCGGGGGGAAAGCTCGGAATGATGCATCTCATTTCCCTGCCTGTGTGATTTATCATGGTTGACTCCAGCACTGTTTCCCTCAAAATAGTGTTTTTTTTTGTTTAAAAAAACCCTCTGTCTCCATTTGAATCTGACCTGTTGCCCCGCTCTGTCATTTCTAATCTGCTATATTTTGATTTATGCTTCATGATTGCTGTTTCTTGTGTTCCTATTTTAGCTTCTGCTCCTGATACAATTCTATGTGCTTTTTTGTTTGTTTGTTTTTCAATCCAGATTCCCTTTGCAGATGGCCTCTTTCACTTCTATCCTCCAGATACGTCAAAGAGGCGAAGCAAACGCAGCAGTCGTGTCAGAGAGCACCTCCAAAAAGACAGAAGGGTAAGTGTAAAATCAAACTGGGACTACTCTTGGCAAAATCATCGGTCTGCACATTTCATTTTGTGCTGCATTGTGTGTATAATTGCAGCATTTATAGCAGAAAACACAGTCCGGGCATCACAATGATGTACAATAGTACCGTAATAAGCTGCACCACACTGGGGCGGATTTGACGTCTTTGGAGATTTATTTTTCTGCTGTCTTAAAAATAAGCAGCAAATACATTTATGTGCCATGCAGGGAAAACCTTGTGGAATTTAAGCATTCAACAACAAGAACTAAACTATGTACTGAAAACATCCTCTAAAAACTTTATAGTATTTATTTATATAAAATCAAATACTTTGTAATCCCATTTTGACAAATAAAAAAGAATGGCTGATTATAATAGCACTGAATCTTGAATATAAGCCTTAAAAATGAATTGGTTTGTTCAAACATTATATTCATTATTGATTTTTTTCTTTATAAATTGTGAAAATACATTCATATCAGAATACTTCATGTGATGTGTGTCAGCCTGCATGACTAAGATGTAATGGATGGTTTTCCTTCTCTATTTATATTATTTTTTTTGATTAATCATAAAGCATTTGTAGGCACAAATATAAAAAGCAGTGCAGTGGAGCCACAGTAATTCAGTTAAATTGGCCCATTAATACAACCTGTACACTGTTGCTTTGAAGTAAGATAACCTTTGGTTTGAATCACGTTTTTGTTGGTTGTGCATTTTCTTCTCATGCGTACTTTATTCCCACGTCTACCGGAGATATTTTAAGTAGACTTTAAGAACGTCAATGTGTGTGTTTGTCTCTGTGTTGGATGGACCAGCAACCTGTCATCTTTGCAGCCAGCCCCTGGCTTGTGGACCACCTGCTCCTCTGCCACAAAAGATGACAGAGTAAGAAAATAGATAGATGAAAATAAACATTATCAAACAAACAGATAGTGTATTCTATAAATTTCAACAAATCCACAGAGAATAAAAATACTAAAATGTGTTAGCAGTAAATCTAGCTTTCGGTTTATTAGATTTCCCTACAATAACCTAATTATCAAAACGTGAAAGCAGAGCTATGAYGTTTTTACCCATGGTGGTTGTGGTCGGGGGTTACATGTCTCTGTTACTAACAGCAAATTTTACAGATTTTAATTTTACTTTTTCTTTTTTTCCTTTTAGCTGCTCCACTCTTCAGAGTTTGCCATAGCGGGTGAATTCACTTGAAAATTTGGCAACTGATCTTAATTTTAAATTCTGACAGGCAGTTGACAACATTACATTCCTTCTTTAGTACAAACTAATTTGTCATCAGTATATTACTACTTTTTGTGATTATGTCAAATAATGATTAACAGTTTTATATAAAAATATCTTTGACGTAATCTTTAATGACTTGAACTAAAAATTCAAGACAGTCAGGTTGATTTACGAGACCACATGAACAACAATATTGACTATATATATAT